GGCCTTGATTGCCTTCAGGGAAACCCCAACGGGGGACACCGGCCAGGGGACAGCCCGTGGGAGAGGAACCGAGCATCATCTGAGTGGCCAGTCGCTGTGCCTCCCCGATTACTCCTCCCCCTATGAACATCAGCAGTGCTTTTTAATGCCAATTGGGGGGACCAACTAGGTGGCGGGCGCCAAGCATGCCCAGGAAGGTACATGAGGCCAATGGGGATTGAACCCAAGACCTCCTGAATGCCACTTGCATGCCTTACCAACTGAGCTAGGCCGCTGGATGAAGCTCAAGTATTTTCAAGTGGTGTCGAACGAGGCCCTCAGAACAGCCGTTGATTGTGTGTTCTATTCTTGGATTGGACATGCAATGTCAGTTGGTACACCCATGACCTGTTGAAATGTAGACCTCAGTTCGAATCTCAACCAACTCAGGGCTTACTCACACTAGGACTTCTTTACTTATTTCGGGACGGAATTGCGGGCACATGCATCCAGGTGCGGCCGTATATACGGTCACATCCATTTAAGATCGTTCTAGTGTGAGTACGCCCTCAGACGAGTAAATAACTCTAAATGAACCTGTGACGGGCCAGTGACGATCGACATCCCAAGGCCATCGCCCTTTTGGGATGGGGAAAAAAACAAAAAAACGAAATATTTTTTTGTTCTGTTCATCTCATTCCGTCTGGATTCGAACTTGGGTCTGTGTTTCTTTTTTCCTTTTTTTTTTTTTATCTACAGGGCGACGGCCTTGAGATATATGAGCTGACCAGTTCCAGGTAACTCAGAATTATTTCAGTGCTTTCATTTACGACCATCAGGATTTGAACTTGGATGAAGTGAGCGATTGTGTAGAAGACACATTGTATTTTTAGCAGCAATTGCGTATGCATGGCTGATCTTCTACGTACGACGGCCCGCGTAGAAGACACATTGTATTTTTAGCAGGAATTGCGTATGCATGGCTGATCTTCTACGTACGACGGCCCGCCGCACGATGTGTCTTTTACAATAATTGAAGTGAGTGTTCATTGGGTTGGGAAGACAGCCTGTCATGACGAAATTCCCATGGATGGCGGTGGACCAGACTGGTATGCAATTGTCTACCACTGTCTCGCGATCGCTCTATTCTCATCTTTAAACCACACATAGACTAAGCGCGAGGAGATCGCCCAAGTGGGTGTGCCTCAAGAACACATCCCTCCGTGATATATCACATTTCTCGACATTATCAAAGTCCCAACATCTCTCTCTCTCTCTCTCTCTCTCTCTCTCTCTCTCTCTCTCTCTCTCTCTCTCTCTCTCTCTCTCTCTCTCTCTCTCTCT